TCTAAAAAAAAAAAACTAGGGCTATTATGCAGTCTTCAAAATTCCTCTTTTGATGTTTCAAAGTAAAACCTATCTTTTTTTTTTTTCTTGCGGTACGCGGGCCTCTCACTGTTGTGGCCTCTCCCGCTGCGGAGCACAGGCTCTGGACGTGCAGGCTCCGCAGCATGTGGGATCTTCCCGGACCGGGGCACGAACCCGTGTCCCCTGCATCGGCAGGCGGACTCTCAACCACTGCGCCACCAGGGAAGCCCAAACCTATCTTTTTAATTTGACATACAGGGAGAGGCTGGAGTCTCTTCAGGAATTTGGGGTTTGATTTAGAATTCTTGCGAACACGTAAAACCTGGGACTGATCTGTTTGGGTTTACCTAATAAAAGTTCAATAAAAATAGGCTGTTTGTTTGTTTTTTAATTCTGGATTAAGTAAAAACGCACTTATGTGGGAGTTTGGGATCACATTTAGAGCCTTAATCAGTAGGCTGTTATGCAAACAAAAACTCTATTGCAAGGTTCTTCGTCCACAGACATGATTTCCCTTCAGGTTGGTCCTGCTCCTCTTCCCAGTGCCTGCTGCTGTCTTCTCCAGCAAGCCTCACCACGGCCTTCCTGAGTTTGCCTGTGTGCTTCTTGTAAATCTAGTAAAGAAACAATGAGGTGCTTTTCTGGGGGCAGTTGCTCTACAGGCCACTTGTAGAGAAGAGACCAAGCTAATAAAAAAGTGTGGATGTTTTCTCCAGTGGAAAATTACAAGTTTGCTTGGTTTTCATCCTTGGCACCAAGTCTTGGGTTCCTCATCACTGAATAGGCTTCTTTCCGCTCGGCTTTCTCCCAGCCAGTGTCCTGGCACACTATCAGAGGGGGAAATAATTAGAAAGAAGTGTCTTATAGGGATGAGAAGCAATGGTAGCTTACCAGATGGGGATAATCATGGATCTTCAAACAAACCCTCGACCAGACAGAACACTATTTGTCTTCTCGCCTACGTTAACTATACACAGTGTTCACAGCTCCTGAAACATGTACGCACCGAGAGAGGGGGAGGATGTCTGCTCAGCTTCCTTCCTTTTCAGGCGGACCCCTTGGTTGCTCTTCGGTACATGAGCGGTGACCCAACTGTAGCCCCAGAGAGTTTTCCAAGAGCTTCCCTCAACTTCTCATAGTTCTTCTGTTGCTGTGGAAGAAAGAGTCTCATCGCATTCTTGGTTCACTCATGATTTAGGTTATGTGAGTGGGGGGTGGGAAGTGAGAGACAGCTTTGTTATTTCTGTATAATGACACTTGCTAATTGTAAAACTATCAAAGTATAGATATGTAGGTTAAAAAGCACCTGACATACCTTTCAGGGGTAACAAGTGTGTCACTCTGGTGAGCATTTCTGGTAATCTCTGTTTGATGTGCATAATTATTTATAAGAATTTATCAAATATATTTGTGAACATAGTGTTGTGTTCATCCAGAAGCTGACCCTGAGACAAGGATCAGAAAAAAAGCAATTCATTTGCAAGGTGCAGCAAAAGGTAATGGAGACTGGGAAAGTAAGACAGGAGGGTAAGGTAGCCAATTAAGGGTGATCATCAAGTTAGCTGCTGCTGTGGGTGGATGGAGCTTAATCCCACAGAGAAACTGGAAAGTGCTGTAGAACAGGAGCCTCAGAGATATCTCAATGGAAGGGTGAGGGAGCAGAAGTATTTATACCCCAGGTCCCACTGGCTGAGGCTGCCCCTGGTGGGTGTTAATTCTGAGTACTTCCAGCCTGAACAGCCTTCCAAGACATTGGAGAAAGTCCCCCAGGAAAGAGAGGCAGCTATTAGCAGGTGGAGGGCAGCCAGACACAGACATAGAAGTGGTATTGCTCGGAAGATGTGCCAGGCACTGTTCTAGGTGCTGGGACACAGTAGGAAACAAAACAGAGAAAAAGTCCTGCCCTCATGGAGCATTTTTTCTATTAGGGAGAATAAATATTGAATAGTAAGCAGGGTAAGTAAGAAACATACGGAATGTGTTCCACGGTGACAAGGAATGTGGAGAAAAATAAGTACCGTGGAGTTCTGGGGAGGAGGGAGAAGGGGTTGGTTGCAATCAGCAAAAAAGGGATCAGGGCAGGCCTCACTGAAAAGGTGACACTCAAGGAATGACTCAAAGGAGGGGAGGGGGAAGCCCACCACATGGTTATCCAGGTGAAGAACGTTCCAGGCAGAGGGAACAGCAAGGCCAAAGGCCCTGAGTCAGGAATGTCCCTGGTGTGTGTGAGGAACCACAGGGCCTGAGAAGCTGAGCAGAAGGTGACGGGGAACTGGCAGGAGAGGAGGCCCCGCAGAGCAGAGTCCTGGTGACGCTGTGCTGCCTCAGGCGCCGGAAGCAGAGGACGGCAGAGTCTGGGTCAAGCTGTGCTGCTGTGCTGACAGTGAACTGAAGAGGGGCCAGGGGGGCAGGGAGGGCAGTAGGAGGCCCCACAATACTCCAGGTGCTGGCGGTGGAGGAGTGAGATGCTGCCGCCATTGTGCGCAGGTCGGACGTGGGGTGTGAGAGAAAGGAGTCAACGGGTTTGGCCTGAGCAACTTGAAAAATGGAGCTGCCTTTTCCTGAATCAGGGAAAACTTCAGAAGAAGCACATTTGGGGTCAGGGGTGGTAGGGGGCCTGGCTTTGGGCATCTTATGTGTGTGATGTCTGTTGGACACCTAAGTAGGACTGTCAGCAGAAGGCTGAGTGTAGCTCGGAAGTTCGAGGAGGTCCGAACCGGATGTAAACTGGGGAGTTTGTCAGTGTACAGATGATCTGAGACTGGCTGAGATCCCCATGGGAGCAAGCTAAACAGAAAAGAGGCCTGGGACCAAACCCTAGTGGTCAACTGTATGTACGTGTATACACACTACATTTATACAGATGGATATGCAGAAACACGCTCTCTGTTTAGATATATACATACACACACAGGTGGTTCAGATCAGTGGTATTATATAAACAGATCTCAATTTTCTTCCCACTAAAACTCAATTTTCTTCCCACTAAATCTACTGGGGATACTGCTCCATGGCGAAAATATCTGTCGCTCCATTAAATTAATGGCTGCATAGTATTTCCTAGTGTACATTATCATAATTAATTTTCCTCTATAGACAAATATTTTTCCCAATTACGGAATTTTAAATTACACAGCAATGGGCATCATGTGCATTCATCCTCTCCCATCTATGTGATCATCTCCTTGGGATAAACCCTAGAAGTGGGGCGGCTGTGGGCAAGGATGTGCCTTTTTTTTTTTTTTTTTTTTTTTTTTGT